CAAGTGCACAAATTCGCAAAGAGACTGTGACGAGGTGCATTCGGTGAGTCCAGAATTCCTTCTAAACGCAACAACAACAAAAGTACACAAGTCCAACAGAAACCTTTACAAAGTGAAACAATGAGGTGACTGAACAGCAAACCCAAGCGATCTTCTAGCAGCGATCAAAGTGTCTGACCAACCAACAATTTATCTCAGTGGAATTTAACGTTAGCTTAACAGCTGGACCAGGGAACGCATCTACCTTGAAAAATTATGCAATCTTCCAGTCGAACGGACAAAAGACCCGAACTTGCGGACGGGCAGGTGGCTAATTACCACGGGTTAGAGTTGAGACGTAGCGGGCATTCTCAGACCAGTCGACAACTTTGATGTCCAGAGTTCAAACAGGATAGCGGGTCCAGTTGACTAAGCAAGCGAATTTTGCACATTAATGTGATACACGTAATCTACCTAGTGATGTCTAGTGATGTTACAACATACTCGTAATCACAAGGGCGGCTGAAAAGAATGTTGTAAAAGGCAACTAATTAGGACTGCTGAAATCAGATGTGTTGGGGCGAAAGGCGCAGATATCGCAACCTAGCACGAAAGGCGCAGATATAGCAGCGTATTTGTAAACCACAATACACTATGCCAACCGCCATTTCAAGGGCGAACAAAAAAAAAAAAAAGGAGATTAGCTGCCCGTGACATGACCATTGAGCATTTCGCCGCCGCTATCGCAGCCTAGCTGTTAACTACAAGACTGAGCGAAAGGCGCAATCGCAGCCTAGTTGTAACCACAACACAACGTGCAAACCACCCTTTTAACTGCTGATCAACTGTTGTAACTACAAAACAACTTCTAAACCACCCTTTTAAAAGTGAAAAAAAATTTGCCGTCGCTATCGCAACCTAGCTGTTAACCACAAGACCGAGTAAAGGCGCAGATATCGCAGCCTAGTTGTTAACCACAACACAACGTGCAATACTACAAAACAACGTCTAAACCACCCTTTTCAAAAAGTAAAAAAAAATTTGCCGCCGCTATCGCAACCTAGCTGTTAACCACAAGACCGAGTAAAGGCGCAGATATCGCACCCTTTTGAAGAAAAAAATAGAAAATTTTTTTTTTCTTTTGGCCCGCCGGAGAGCTATCGCAGCCTAGCTGTTAACTACAAGACCGAGCGAAAGGCGCAATCGCAGCCTATATCGCAGCCTAGTTGTAACCACAACACAACGTGCAAACCACCCTTTTAACTGCTTATCAACTGTTGTAACTACAAAAACAACTTCTAAACCACCATTTAAAAGTGAAAAAAAAATTTGCCGTCGCTATCGCAACTAGCTGTTAACCACAAGACCGAGTAAAGGCGCAGATATCGCAGCCTAGTTGTTAACCACAACACAACGTGCAATACTACAAAACAACGTCTAAACCACCCTTTTAAAAGTAAAAAAAAATTTGCCGCCGCTATCGCAACCTAGCTGTTAACCACAAGACCGAGTAAAGGCGCAGATATCGCACCCTTTTGAAGAAAAAAATAGAAAATTTTTTTTTCTCTTTTGGCCCGCCGGAGAGCTATCGCAGCCTAGCTGTTAACTACAAGACCGAGCGAAAGGCGCAATCGCAGCCTATATCGCAGCCTAGTTGTAACCACAACACAACGTGCAAACCACCCTTTTAACTGCTTATAAAGCTGTTGTAACTACAAACACAACGTCTAAACCACCCTTTTAAAAGTGAAAAAAAAAAATGCTATCGCAACCTAGCTGTTAACCACAAGACCGAGTAAAGGCGCAGATATCGCAGCCTTTTGAAGAAAAAAATAGAAATATATTTTTTTTTTCTTTTGGCCCGCCGGAGAATCGAACCCCGATCAACCTGATCACCGGCGTAACAAGAATACTGCATATCAACTATACTAGCGAAGACTCGGTAATTTCGTTCAAACGAACTTATATAATAAAAGAAGGCATTTCCTGTTCCATATTTTTAACAACATGACCTCTTAGGTCCCTAACAACGACCTCTTGAGGCCCTGAATGGGATTTTTTGTCTTTGAATAATATGGGGCCGGTATTCGGAAGACACTCTTCCGAATACCGGCCCCATATTATTTGCTGTCCAGAATAATATGGGGCCGGTATTCGGAAGAGTGCCGGAAAACTGCAGTATGACAAGTCTACAAAACCTCAAGATCAGCACTCATTAATGTCTTGTGATCAATGATGCTTCAAGTTCGATATCGTGTAATCGCACATATCACAAGAAAGCGATAACAATAAAGCTTTCCTACGTCCTAAAACACATTCAGTCGCCAGGAAACAGCACAAATCAATTGGTCGGTGCAATCTAAGTATTGATTGAAGTGTGTAGCAGTAGCTAGCAGTGAACTAATTTGTCTACAATTAAACATGTAACTATTGAAGTGTGTACTAGCAGTGAACTATTTTAGTGTCTACAATATAACAATGGTTACTATTGAAGTGTGTAGCTAGCAATTGAACTACTCAATGATAAAATATCCAGCTTATATGAAACCGATAGTACCAGTGCACAAGTACCACAAACAGCATACATTTTCTGTAATAAATGCTTCACTGAACAATTCCGTATTAGTGTGGCAGTCATGTCCGAAATTACTAGTGTGGAGCATATAAACCTGTGGCGGTCTTAATGTAAATTTCAGTGCCCAGTTCATGAAATTAATTACTATTGTGTTAAATTTCAATTAACCATATCAAATTATCATTTCTTTAGTATTTTAAAAAGTAGCAGTAGCATGATTCAACTGACAAGCTTCAACGAAAACAACCTTCAAGAAAACAACAGCCATCGCAGAATCAGCTTCAGTCAAACTAAATCGGGCACCATCAATATTACATTGATTATTAACTTTTATTTTTGATTTATTTTTCTGGTGATTGTTATTTATTAATAATTATCAATATTATTTATTTAATAATTTACATTGGTGCAGTCAGTGACATTTATTTTATTTTATTTGTATATTTAAATTGTGGCATTCATTGACATTTATTTTATTTATTTATACTTTACATTGGTGCATTCATTGACATTTATTTTTATTTATTTATAATTTACATTGGTGCATTCGATTGACATTTTAATTTAATCTTATATCGGTGCATTTTCATTGACATCTACTTTATTTATTAATATTGTTCATTGGTATTTTTGATATTATTTTTGTAATTTTTCCTACTATTCTTTACATTTTTCCTTTTTATTTATAAATATTGCAAATTGTATTGAATTTTTTATTTTGTTATTTCTTCATTTACTAAAGTTGTGGTGTTATATTACACGGAAGTTCAATACCACCTCATCATGAAGTGCCATAATTAAATCATCTCACATCCATTATCAAGTGTCAAAATTATTTCAATTTGGTTAACTTTTATCTCCCCCTCACTTGGATCATCAC